TCCTGCCCCCCTTTCCTGTCCGCCTGAATCCTTCCTAATACCCTTTCAAATCTCTCCTTCCTTCTCCATCCCATATACCTCTACCTTTTCCAGTTCTTCTCACCCTCCGCCTTTCCTCTCTTCTAACCTCCCCTCTCCTAACCTCCCCTCCAAGATTACTGGGTGGTGATCCGAGTTTATCTCTTCACCCACCTCCATCCTTATCACCTCTCTATGTTGTTACTCCATCTCTCTCTGCCGCAACTCTTTCAACTCCCTTCGCTCCCCTAACACTCTCCGTCGTATGAGAGCCAGCCGCTTCCGGCTCCCGGACCACTGTCGTCTATCCACACGTTTTCCTTGGCGTATGCATCATTACACTAGACGTCAACAGAATATCTTCTTGTCGACCGAAATTCACACACGCGCACTTTCCGTTTGCAATACCGGACGGTTGTATCAGATCCCGGACGAGCCCCTAAAATGTTACGTTCGCGCTAGCACTCGCGATCGCGCACGGGAGAAATGAACGAACACATTTTACAAAAGAACGAAAAACTTTACTATTTATAGCAATACACGATTAAGCTCAATATCAATTCAATTGATACACCTTCACGACCATGACTCGCTATCAACTTTCCGTCAGCTGTTGTTTATTCCTCGTTGTCAACCGTGCCCCTTTGCTTGTCTCTTTATACCAGGATTATCGAAACCGATGCATTTCCGGTAACGCGGGCGCAACAATATTAATGATAAATATCTTGTGAAATATACATCATGTGAAAAAATATTAAAGACAAAATTTGTTTGGTATAAAGAGATTAAAGGTGTATAAAGAGAACATAAGATGTGGCACTAACTATTATAAGTGTCACTATTATAAGTTAAATGAAGTTCATATTTTTTTAATGAAAACCTCATTTTTCATTATTTTATATGAAAGTAAGAGTAAAAATAAATATTTTCTATCCGGAACATTTTTTCTTAAATGCAAATTTTTTGAAATATTCGACTTTAAAAAAACATTTGTTTCATGATATTTTCACACATATCTATGAAATTACTAATTATTAAAAATATTTCTGATAATGATAATTTTATTAAGTAATTTATTCTTTGTTTACATAAAATTATTATACGGTTTGCGTGGAACCATGTAATAACACATGATCTTATTTCGCATTGTGCAACACTGAGCAATGTAGGTGAACTTCGTTCGTCCTGTTTATAAGCATGTTATACCCCACACAGCACAAAACATCTCAACAATGTCTCCAGAATATTATATTTGCAATGTTAAATATCCTGGAGATAATCTCAGAGATATTCTAGAAATATCTATGCAATGTCTTATGTCACCAATTTGTAATATTGTTGAGATATTCTAAAGACATTGCAGGGACATTTTGAAATATTGCTGGGTAATTCTAGAAATATTGAAACCTTGTACAAAAAAATAATTTTTATGATATATCTTCAATTCACACGTCAGTTTATGTTGATTTTAAATGAAATTTAGGTTTTTTAATTGATTTCTTACTATTTTTACACCAGAAAATTTATTTAGTACTAATCAGACGCGAACTCGAGAACTGCAGATATCTTCAGATTTCTAGTGTATCACCTTAGCTACTTCTTCAATTGATACTAAGTGTTTCTTATTGTCCTCATATGCAACTAAAGCAGTAATTTTAATTTTTTTTAAATATTATTTAATGCAACTACAAAAATAAACTAGTTAGTCCAAATATTTAATATAATAAAAGAAAAGTCAGAGATATTCTGTCGACACTTGTATCTCTTCGCGTGCCATGGATAGATCGTTAAAAGAATTTTGTGATATCATAATCTTTTTTCAAAAATAATATTTTATGCTTGTTTATTGCAATTTAATGTTAAATAATTAGCCGCATTTTCATGGAAATGACAACTAAAAACATTCAATACGGTCAGAATAAATTTATAGCGTTCTAATGAATAGTTTTTCGATGATAGGTCTTTCATAGGACGCCAATTTGTGAAATTTTTTCCACAGAAGAATTCTACCAAAATTTTACTATTACCTGTTACCGCGCTCCGTTTTTCGGCGATCCGAACGGTATGAGACAAAATTCTGAAAAGTAGTGCTGAGATCTTGATTGCTGAGAAATATTGTAAAAATATTTGCAAGATTTTATATGAAGACATTATTGAAACGGTTTAAGATATTTTTGATGTATTATATATTTGAAATATTTTGGGCATACGCTAATAAAAAACGTACCAGTATCCATTCAAAAATCTCATAAGATACACTTTATAGAAAATTATAGAAATCTTAAATATTTATTGAACGAGTAAATTTGTACTAGGATATCCATATAGTTTTTCTCCAAACAATTGATATAGATTGATTTTTAAAAGATTTTAAGTAATAATGTATCTTGGTTTGAAATAAAGCAGTTTCTATAAAATTTTGTTATAAATATATATACAAATATTTTGTATAATTTCTATAATATCTCAAATTATATCACATATATAATGAACACACATGGACACACACATGCGCACGCACACGCACACGCACATTATAACAATACATAATTATTATTCATTTTAATTACTTGTGTTTATTATTATTATTAGTATACCTTTCCAAAAAATACTCAATTGTTGGTGTAAACATCCAAAAATTTGGGATAAACACCTAAATTTGAGTGTTAATAACTAATTGACTTCTTCAAGTCAAGAAATCATTGAATATACATACAATGGAAATTTGTACAATAGGTAACGTTTTAAATAAAATATTTCTAGAATAGTCAATTTGTGATATTCTGATATATTTCCCGCGACAGATTTCCAGAATATTTCAAAAACTTCGCAAATGATAATGTTTCAAATGGAATATTTCTAGAATATTCTATTTCAGATATTCTGAAATATTTCCAACGACAGATCTTCAGAATATTTCAGAAACATCGCAAATGTAATGTTTCAAATGGAATATTCTTAAAATATCTGATAGGAAATATTCTATTTCAAATATCTGTACAATATCCCAAGAATATCTCAAATATAATATTTTAAAAATAATATTTGTAATATTCTGGAAACATTGCTGAGATGTATTGTGTAGGGTATGGGCAAAACTCCTCTTTTCACAAAAACCTAATCTGATCTAACCTATATTACTGACATTGATGTCGGTTGTTAAAACCTTTATAGAATATTGCATTAACATACAGATCAGTATGACAGATAAAATGACCAGATTTGCAACAATTTTTTATATTTTTTAATGCAGCGTGTTGCAATAATATATTGATCACTATGACAAATAAAACGATTTGTAACTATTTTTAATATTTATTTTAATGATAAAAATGAATTTGTTTGGTAAACGAATTTGTCGCCAAGTTTGAGCTGAATCCATGTCCGAACACGTACATTTGCCAGCGAGGCGAATAAACAATCCGTTAGGCAGACTAATATAATGATACAACATCCTGTACATAGGCCGACGTTAATGCAATTCCATTCTCTAGGGAAATTTATCAGTCTGATACATTATGTCTGAATATTCGTATATCATGATTCGTACATATCGATTTTTAAGTTATTTAATAGTTCATTATTAGTTAGCAGACATAGTTATTATTAATTAGTTGAATTCAGTTAAAATTAAGAACTAATTAGATACTAATCAGATTCGCAAAATTTATAATTTATTAAATTTATAGTTACAAAACAGCTTTCTCTATCGAATGCAGCCAATGTAGTTCTATCCACTGTGTATCTGTTTTTTATTGTGTTCGATTGGCACTGTTTGTTTGGCACTGTATTCATCTTGTACGATCTCTCCCAGTAAGCAAGAAATCATTAGTTACTACAATGATATTCAAGAACCTGTAATATTGTCAAATATGTAATGCTTAATATTATATCGAACATCATTATGAACATACTTTGATCGCGATGTAGAAGTTTCAATAATGTTGAAATAGGGTTGTCATAACGTTTTAATCGCCAAAAATATTTTTAAGATGTTGCATTGATCTCAAATAAATGTTAAAGTAACATATGAAAAGTATATTTTTTGTAATGTTTTTGAAACGTTTAAACAACATTCAGAAAAATCATATCACAAAATAACATGTAAAAAATATAAATGCAATATTATTAAAAAATGTCCAAACAATACTCATGAAGTCAACGTTCCTAAACGTTAATTTAATGTTCCTTGCTTACTGGGCTATTACATCTGTCTAACATTATGTTTGTTTGGCATTTCTATGTGTCCATTAGATCTGTCCTACAATATGTTATATGCCGATGTCGCACATAATAGAGCACATAATGTGGCAATAATACGATCGTATTGGGACAATAACTTACAAGGGAGGTTAGGCAACCCGAAAATTCAGAAAATTCTGAAAAAATTTGTGCAAGTAGAGTAGTTCATCCGCAACACAAAACTATTTTTTTTTCGTGCCATATTTTGGTTTGAAAAGGTGATATCACCCCTTGAAAAAAATGCAGATTTGTTTTTTTCGCGTAATAAGTCCAGAACGGTGAGAGATATAAAAAAAAAGTTTAAACAAAAGTTGCATCTCATTTTTATGTCTACAAAACTACGTACAGACAATTATCGAAAAATCCATTTTTTTCGAGTTACCCCTACCACCAACCCTTAAAATTAAGTTTTTGTACTGTGTAATTTTATGCAAAAATACTTCTCCACAACCTCTTTTCATACATCATAATCAATATATATGTGTTCTATTTTTTTTTAATAAAAAAAAAATAAATGAAAAAT